GACCTTCCCCCACCCCCAACTCCAACCCCACACAGTCATGCCAGCAGGGCCTTGGGAGTCAGCTAGTACCTCAGGTTTGGAAAATGAGCTATTAAGGCCTGAAGGGACTGGATGAAGTGACGAAAACCGTGCAGCCAGCCTGAGGTGGAACAGAGGGGCTGCTGGTGTTACCTCTGCCCAACTAGCTGTCTGTGTGGGTTCCCCGGGTCTTTTTGGTTTTGTTTTGTTTTGTTTTTCGAGACAGGGTTTCTCTGTGTAGTTTTGTTGCCTGTCCTGGATCTCTCTGTGTAGCCCAGGCTGGCCTTGGACTCACAGAGATCCACCTGTCTCTGCTTCCCGAGTACTGGGATTAAAGGCGCATGCCACCACTGCCCGGCTCCCCTGGGTCTTGATGACATTATTTTCAGCCAATAAGCAGAGATGGGAGGGGAGCAGAAGGAAGCCCCATGTGCCCTGCCCCGACTCATGGGGCCATGAGAACACCTGGCCATGGCTTGGATCCTCTGGGGCCTAGAACAGAGTTCATGCTCTCTTGCATGTCCGTCACTATGGATTTATGGGGGTCTGCATGAGCTCCTGTTCTGCCTTAGGGGGTAACTACTGCCTTACAAGTGTCCAACTGGATCAGCTCACATGACAAGGGCCCAGATGACAACAGGGCCACCTCCCCTTGCTTCCAGGCCCATCCTTTTCCCAGGAGTTCCCAGCAGCTCTCTCCCTTCTGCTTCACGATATTCTGGTCCTGCCTGCAGCCTTTTAGAGCCAGCATTTCAAGACTGTGGGCTCTTCCCTGCGAGAGCTTCAGGTGTCCCAAGGAAGGGTGACACCTCCTCTTCCCACCTCATGTATGGGTCACCAAGGAGAGAGGCAGCTTCTGGGGCCCAGGGACCCGATGGCAGGCAGCATAACAGAACATCTTTTGGAAACTTGAGTGCCCCCCAGCTTTTGTTCCTTTCTAGGAGTTTCATGCTCCCAGCTAACCTGGGCAGCCCTTGGGCCAGATTCCGGATTCTCTCTCCCACAGCCCCAGTCAGGACAGTGAATAGACCCCTGCTCTTTGCATTTGTTGCTAGAATTGTCTGGCATTTTGTTATGCACATAATCATAGTTAATTTGCTTGGCGCTTTACACTTTTAAAACCTTTTCACAGTCTGTGTTCTATCTGTGTTTCCTAAGAGTCCAGTGAGAAGGACCAGCTGGGGTAGGAGCTGTCGTCCATCTTCACAGAGAAACAAAGCTAACAGGGTCCCTGGGTGGCTGCAGTTGTGAGGAAGTGGCTGAACCAGACATTCACACGTTCTCGCGCCTATTCAAATCTCCCTTCCTGGAAGGCTGAGACCACCTTCTCCTCTCCTGATTTACCACACTCTGCTCCTAGTCTGCTACAATCCCTACTTGTCTTTTGAAATTTGTTTTTATAAGTTCTTCATCCAGTCGGCCCCAAACTGGCTCAGAATTGAAAGCCAAAGTTGAGGATTGAACTTTGGGGAAGTCCAGAATATTTTTTTTCAAAGACTTGGTTTCAGGTCAAATCCATCAGCTTCTGAGATGTGGACTAATATATACATGCACACGTGTGTACACATGCACTCACCTTGAGAGAGTGCCAAATCATAGTTGGTACCAACCTTGCACACCGCGCTGATAACCAAGATGGTTGCTAAGCGACTGAGCAAAGGGGCCACCGTCACTCTGGATAGGACTGCAGGAGGGTGATGACATCACTTAGAACACCACGTACTTCAAAACTCATGAATAGTTTATTTCTGAAATTCCCCACTTAATGTTCTCAGAACATGGTTGATGACTGGTAACTGAAACCACAGGAGTAAGCCTGAGACAATGGACATGTATGTGTGTGTTCATGTGTGCGTAAGTCTCTCTGTGTGTTTATGTGTGCACGTCTCTGTGTGTGCCTGCGTGAATGTGTGTGTTTTTATGTGTGTGTGTGTGTCTGTGTGTGCCTATGTTTCTCTGTGTGTCTGTGTGTTTCTGTGTCTGTGTGTGTATATCTCTGTATGTG